CCTTTGTAACAGGGCTTTCCAGTAGAATTTTCTGTGATGATGGGAATAGTCTGTGTCTGTGTTGTTCAGTGTGGTGCCACTAACCACGTGAAATGTGACGCTGAGGAACTGAATTTTAAAATAGTTTATTTCATGTGAATTCATTTACACCATGGGGGTGCAGCTCTATAAGCTGGCTGCAGAGCCTCGGCACCCCCAGGGGGCAGGAGCCGGTCCGAAGTGGTAGTCATGGAAGCTTAGAAGAACCGCCACTTGGGGTCTGCAGACTTTAGCTGATATGGTTAAAATACACGTGTCACTCTGGAGAGAATATGGGGACTGGAGTCAGACCTGGGTTTCAATTCTGGCTTCCGTTTATCAGCCTTAGCACCTTGGGCAAATTTCCTTGAAACACTTAAATTCAGATCCAGCCTCTGCAAAACAGGTACAATGATGCCTGTGAGGGCGTCTCTGCCTCCATAAGGCCTGTTGGGCTGGCTTCATTCAGTCACCCATTCATTCCACAAATATTCGTCAAACACCCTGCACAGTCAGGGCGTAGAGAGGGGAGCAAAGCCCTCGGGAACGCTGCAGCCCAGGGCGGGCTCCGTCAGATGGCGAGATAGTAAAAGATCCAGCCTGGAGAGCATTGTGAGGATTAAACAGGACAAGTGTGCAAAGAGCCTGAGCAGAGCTGTTGGCACCCAGATGTCCATCCTTCTCTCTGACAGCATGTCTTTCTCCTGCCGAGGGTCCTTGCCAATACCCCAGCCCTGTCTCCACCACCTGGCTGCGCACACAGAAAGGGAACAGAACTGGATGTGTCCCTCACACCAGGACAGAAAACAAATGATCAGGATGGGTATATCTTCATCCTGTCAGGTCTCTTGCAGCACCCGCCAGACTTGAAAAGGGCACAAAACACCCAGGCACCTCGCCGCACCCCAAGAGGCACTCTGGGACGAGGCCCCACCCCGGGAGGGTCCAGTCCAGGAAGCACTGGGAGTGAGGCCTGTTTCCCCCTAACCTGAGTGGGGCTGAGGGGTCCAGGGTGTTGCTGGAGACCCGGATACCAGAGTTCCACATCCTGGGGTAATTTGGGGTGTAGACACAGATTCCAACCCAGACCTGAAACAGAAGTGCCTGGGGGCTCAGGAGCCAGAGAGGTGGGAAGGAGAGGGTGGTAGACTTGTCCACCTGCCTGCCCTACCCAATCCCTCAGGGCAACGCCAGCTGGAGGGTTATTCTTCCTTCCTCCTGACACAGCTTGATCGAGGAGTGTCACTTGACCTCAGGGCACATTCCGGAATGAGTCCACCTCCGAGAATAGGACCCAGGAACCCTGCCCTCCATCCTTCCTATATTAATCACACATTCCCAGAGCAGGAGGGAGACTTCAGAGTCCTTGGGGAGGTGGGAGGAGGAGACGGTATCAGGAAGGAAGTGGAGCTGGGGAAAAGGAGGGGGCACCCCAGAGAAGCACCTTACCAGCCTTGTGGCTGTCCAGTGCACCATGTGGCCTGGGGTGCCAGGACCCTTTGTTCATTCAGCGAATCCCACTTGAGCTCTGTAAGCTGGGCGCACAGACCTCCCGGAGCCCTAAGCAGTGGCTCAGGCCGGCGATCAGGGCAAGTGCAGAGGAAGACAGACTCACAGAGGAGTGTTTGTGCAGCCTGGGGATAGCGGAGGCTCCCCAAGGAGCTGAGTCTTGGAGGACGGGTAGGCTCAGGAATCTAGGCCATGACTGCTCATGTGTGTGATAGAGATACCATGTGACACACAAGATTGGAAGTCAACGCTGGGGTGGGAGGCACTTGGCTGATGGGAGGCAGGCTCTTTGGAGATATCTCAGATCGGGATGGGTTGCTGCACCGCCCAGCCCAGAGTCATGTGCGTGTGCGCGCACATGTGTCACATGCTGGGAGAAACAGCATAGCGTGAGCAGTAATGGCCTTGAGGTCAGACTGCCTAGGTTCAAATCTTGGCTCTGGGATCTTGGGCAAGTTTCTTATCCCCTCTAGCCTCAGTTTTCCCACCTACAAAATAGCATTCTGTCTCCCACAGTTGTGGTGGAGATGAGAGGTGATAGTGCTATAGCCCCCAACTCAGTGCTGATGTTCTAACAGGACAGTTGGAAAAGGGCGTTCTCCCCAGCCTGAGGAAATCGCCATGTGGCTATGTATTTATTCAGCCCCATTCCCTCATCAGGTTCCGCCCCTGATCCCTGCTCTCTGGCCCCACTGTCCACAGGGTGACATCAGACAATGGAGCAGCTGGCCAGACAATGGAGCGGAGTGTTCTAGGCTGGAGGTGCTGGGGGAGGCAGAGGGTGGAAAAAGCCAAGCTGTCCTGCCCTGGAGGCCTCAGGCCTGGTCTGGAGGCAAACAGAGAGATGAACCAGAGTGGGGAGGAGGATGGAGAGGGAGCCTACAGATGCAAGCCGGGGAGGAGTGAGTGTCCAGTGTAGAGAGGAAAGCAGGTGAGAGTCTGACCTCAGACCTGGAAGAGGGCTCAATCCCCCATGTCCTGGGGCTGAAGCCAGGGCCAAATCTCCCAGACAGGTGTGGTGGCCTCCCTAGGTCACCTGGCAGCCAAGGCCCTGGGAATTCAGTTCATCCTGCACTGAGCACCTCCCAGAAGTTAGTTACTGTGTAAGGTCTGGGTGACGAGAGAGACAGAGAGAGAGAGAGAGAGAGAGAGAGAGAGAGAGAGATGCAGGCTTTGTTTCAAGGACAGAAAATAAATACCATGTGGTGGGTCCCAAAGTATAATGGATTCTGTATCACCCATTCCTCATATTTTCCAAACCCAAATCAGCCTATGTGGGGTGGCCAGTTTTGGGTGTACTCTGTGAGCAACAGGAGACAATATTTGGAGCTGTGTGATCACTGCGCCCATGAAACCCGAGGCCCAGAAGGGGAGGGCTTTAGGTGCCGAGGCCCTGCTCTCTACCAGGGAGCTGCTGCGGGCCAGGAGGGGGCCCAGGGGCAGCCATCTGGGCCGAGTTCTGTTTCCTAAGCTTTTCAGTTTGACACTGTTAATAGGGTCGAGCTCCCCCAGTCTCCATGAAGTGTTCTTCTTACCCTCTGTCTTACAGATGCGGGAACCAAGGCTCAGACAGACAGCAGATACCTGTCAGAGCCCAGATTCAGACCTAGGCTCCACGGGTGAGGCCTTCCTACTCTGTCAAGCTGGGGCCAGTTGCGACAGGGATCCCAAGTCTGGGGCTGTGTGTGAACAGTGAGCTGGTGAGAGGGAGCCCTGAGCTCAGACCCCCTGAACCTCACACTTCCACCAGGTAGCCACAGGGCTCAGCCCCACTTCTGTGCGAGTGTGGGGATGGGGGAAGTGACAGGTGCTGGCATGTGGACACTTGCTCCCTGGAGCTCTAAGGTGATGTGCTATATACTGGGGCACCTCAGCCTAGAAGCAGGTGCCACAGAATGTCCCCAGGCCTCTGAGGGGTGGGGTGAGGAGCTGAGTCTTCACGCCCTGGTTCTCTGACCTGAACAGGGTGGGGCCTGTGGCCAGTGCTCACACCTTCTTGGTTAAGTTCTGTGCTCAGCCTTTTCCCAGTGGTGATTTGAGAAGCTCCCTCTCCTCTGGCCTCTCTTCTCTTTCACGGAGCAGCTTGTCTTCCCAATCCTGGCCCCTCCTTACTGCAGGGAATTATCTCTGAGGAGGAGTGGCCGGGCTGAGCCAGTCCGGACCTGGATTCCTTTTCAGGGTTGTGGCCAGGGAAGAGAACAGGGGACAGGTGTGTGCTCATCTGGCTCCCAGCCTCAGGGATGGACAGGCTGGGGGCTTTCCCTGGCTGCAGGCTCCTGAACACATCTCCAGGGAGGAGAGCAGTCACAAGACCCAGGGACCAAAAGTGCTGCTGCCCCAGCCTGTGAACCAGGCCATGTGCTCCGAGCACCCAGGGCTTTGGGACCCAGCCTCCCCCAGAGACCCCCTAAGGAGTCACGGCTGGCCATGACACGCCACCCCCCTTGTCTCCTTCACCTTCATGCCTCTGAACTCACCATCAGCAGTGGGGCCTGGAGTGTTCCCTGGCCCACCATGCTGTCATGATAGAATAGGGGACTGAGATACAAGTTAGAGCACCTAGGCCTGAGCCTGCGCCTCCCTACCTCCG